TAGGGGGAGGGTCGTGGAGGTGAATTGTAGTTGCATTGGATGTTTGGAGGTTGAAGCTCCTTTTCTTTCAATGAACTTCACTATTTGACTTAAGGCATATATTTTGGAGTTTAGATCACAAGTGGAGGTGTCTATCTTGTTGTATACCTCAACAAAGCGCTTGTGGAACTCAATGGTAGTAGTAACTTTTCCCTTGATGATTTGCTGCACCATTTGCTTGATTTCTGTATAATATGTACTAGAAGGGACTTCTGCATAACCAAAACCATGTGGATATTACTTTTGTTGGTAGCCACCTTGGTTGCCTTGATATGGTGGTTTGAGGACAAAGCCTTTCTGCTGATTGTAATGGATAAAAGGTTTGTTCCCTGGACCTTGTTGAGCTCTTTGAGAAGGGTAGACTTGATCTTGTGGGTTGGCCATATTAGTGCTTCTACAGGAGAAGTTGGGTTGGTTTATGTAGTTGTTAAAGCCACCACCTCCTTGTTGGTTTATATCGAAGGCTTCTTCTTGAAGATCACGTTCTTCTTCTTGGGTTTGGCTAGCTTCACCCACAAAGTTAACAACCTTCAATGAAGAGTTCGAGAGCTTATCAAGCTTCTCATGTAGAGCCTTTATCTCCTTCTTGGTGACGCTTTCACTCTCACTTGTGGTGGCCCTTGATGTTCTGTCATAGTCTTCACTATAGTTCCCATCTGAAAGAGCTAGATTCTCCACTAACTCAAGTCCTTCTTCAAAATCTTTACCCAAAAAGTTCCCATTGCTTGATGTGCCTAACATCATTCTGAACTTGGGAAAAACACCTTTATATAGAGTGTTTAGAAGACTCATTGCTGAAACCAAGGTGAGGGCACTGAAGTTTGTAACTCTTGAAGCGCTCCCATGCCTCACAAAAGGTCTCATTGTTATGCTGAGAGAAGCTTGGGATGTTGTTCCTCAGCTTTGGTGTTCTTGTTTTGGAGAAAACTTTCCCTAAGAAAGCCCTCCTTACAATCATTCCAAGAGCTTATGGAACCTTAAGGCAGAGTTTTCTCCCATTGATGAGCTTTATCTCCAAGGCTGAATGGGAATAGCCTGACCTTAAGACCATTTTTGCTGACTCCTTGTATCTTAGTCATTGCACAAACTCTGTCAAATTGGTCCAAGTGGTCAAGATGATCCTCCATAGGTAGCCCATGAAACGGATTTGCTTATACCATGTTGATCAGCCCCAGCTTGGTCTCAAAATTATTGTTATGAACTGGAGGGACCAAGATACCATTGCGGTTGATATGAGTGTGGGGCATCTTCAGCTCTTATTTGCCTTGGAGATCTTGCACCATGTAGAGGTGCTCCTTCCACATTAGGTACTTGTGTTAGCAGGTCTGCATCTTGGGCGTGTTGTGGAGCTCCAGGAGCTTGTGCTGGTGCACCTTGAGGTCCCTGGCCTTGTTGATGAACTTGATCAGCCATATTAACTTCCTCTTGAAGCTGAACACGTGCTCTCTCTCTTCTTGCTCTTACTTTTCTATCAAGATGATGTATGTTGTCAACTCTTTGTAGAAGGTTTTAAGAGATTATTGATCTTAGGTTCATACAAGTGGTACCTATAAGACAAATAAAAGTAATCAAACTAGTACTTAAATAAACAGCCTAGACTAAGCAATAATGTAAACTTCAATGCACCAAATTCTCAATACGTCAAGACTTTTTATGTCTTGTGACTCAATTCCTCAAGTGTAAAATCATGTCATCATAACACTTAGAGGTTATCAATCCATACTAGGAGTGGTGTAGTGAAGATGCAACAAACTCTCTAAGCTAGGCTAAAAGGGGGTTTTCAAATGGTTCACACTCAGCAACTATCCAGTGCAAACAAGTAACAAAAGAGACCAAACCATAAAAGTTCAAGACAAGCAATTCAAGCTAAACAAGAGCAATATGGTGATCAAATAAATCAGAGCAAATGGTTGACAAATTCGAAATGTTAAAAGCAAGGTTCAAGACTAAGGTGATATGATTTAGGTGGTTCCAATCATGTTCAAGGTGTGCCAGCAGCAATCAATGCATTAATCTCTAATCAAGGACTATAATCATAGATATATACTCCCATGGTACTAATCCCTTTGACTAATCACATTTCAAACTCATGGTCAATGGTGTATATATACCTAGCAAGCTTTCAATCACAAAATGAATATAGCCAAAAAGTAAATTAGACAACTAATCTCTTAGGATAAGATCAATAGTCTCTTGTGCAATGGATCAAACATCAACTCACACTCACATGCATAATGTATGTTCAAAAGCGATTTTTCTATCCCTAGAGTACTCTAGCATTAACCTCAATCAAACATGAAATGGTAGATGCAAGGATTCATGACTATCAAAACATCATTTTCAAGCTTTGAAACTCATTCAAACATTTCATCAAGCACAATAGTGGCAACAAAACGTCTAGGGTGTATTTCAGGAAAAGGGAGATACTTGACATTAAACACAATCACATAAGAAAAGATAATTAAATATCTAATATCTAATATTTCTTTTCAAATGAGTAATGCTTACCATTCCTTTATTCAATCTAACTTAATCTCAAATCTAAAGTTTATTATTCACTAACCATGTTCAAATCTACAAAAGTATGGTTAAACATGATTATTAGTAAATAGAAAAGAAATATATAAAGGTTTATACAAAAATTTATTGGAAATAAACCTTAAGATCCAAAATTTGTTTTTAAGGGAAAGGAAAAAAGTTTTCTTACAACAAAGTAAAAAGTAAGCTTAAGACTTGATAAAAGATAAGATAATGATTTATTTAGGTCAAGCCTATTTATAGAGAAGTTCCAAAATAGGCTTGATCAACTAAATAAAACCTAGTCAAAGATGGTCAACACTTGGTCAACATCCCGATTTGTCATGTCGAGCAGGCTAGCAATGTGCTCTCCACCGTACGTCTGCTCGGTGTGTCTTGAAGGTGCTGTGTCGAATCTTTGGCTTGGTTAACCCCTTGATCTTGGTACACATCGTGCAGTGCATGGTGGATTCTCCTCGGTGTACCTCCACAATATGTCATGTGTCTTCAGATATCAGGCTCGTTTAGCTGGACCTCTACGTTGTATCTGCTCGGTATGTCCTCTGGTCCAGCACATCGGTCATAACCCCTCGAATGTGGTACGCATCAGACAGGACGAAAGGTGCTCTCCACAATGCGGCTGCTCGATATGAATCCAAAATGCCTTGGTCACTTGCTTCCAGCCTGCTCCTCTTCTCCACTTTAACCAGCATTCTTCTAATGTCCTCCTTAGACGCTCAAAGACCTGAAATACACTCCAAATGCAATAATGTATCCATTCCTAATCCTAATGCACACTAAGTCTAACATGAATGCAAATAGGACACTTTGGACTATGAAATGGATGAAATAAGATGAAAACCTACACTAAATGAAGTTTAATATGGTGAAATAATGCAAGCTATTAGGGATGGCCTATGCGGCCTTCACCACTTTGTTCCGGATGGGCCTACGGGTTTGAACGCTCGTCTTGGTGACTTCTTCGAGAAACTTTGGAGTCCCCTGTCATGGATTGCAATGCTATAGTTGCTTCAGACTTCGTTCCGTGCTGCAGGATCTTCTCGGGTGGCTGGTGCTGCCTTTTGGTTTCTTCAGTCTTCTACAGCTACTGATTTTATTACACCAAATGATAATCTTTCTCCTCCTTCTAGGTTCCTTCAGTCTTCATGAGCATTTTACTGGACAGGGCCGTGTGTGTTCGTCATCGTAGGTGAACTCCATCTCACGTGTTCATCCACTAGGGGATGAGTAACGTCTATGTAATCTGATGAGCCTGTCGTCTGGAACCTATAATCAACTTAACAAACGGTGAATTGACCCCTAGAGAAGACATGAAAAGAGTTTCACTACCGAAGGTTCTCAAATGCCCAAACTAAAAACTTTCTACCGGAAACAACTACTCTGAAGGATAGATTTTAGGCGGATTTTATGATTGAATATTACGTCCATGGATCATAGTACCTGTCTCTTATTCTGTAGTGGTCATACGGCAACCTGAAAATACGGTTGAAACTCTTTCACAACTGGTAAAATATATAAGGGAAACCATCTTACCTCCTATGGCACGTTCGAAGAACGTGCTATGTGTCCGAGACCGATTGCGTTTTGATCGAGGACGTTAGGTACAAGCTCTCAGACACACTAACTGAGGGGATTAGGATCTGATGAAGTCTTGCAAACTCATCGGCTGGTCCTCTAATTTTGGTATTGTCTCTCTAACCATGACCATTTGTCTAGCCGACTCTCACTTATACTACTTCTGTCCGGTTTTTCATTGGCTATGCATACTCCACCAAATAGACCTGCACCATAGAAAGTTAATCACATGCCTCATACCAATCTCTGTGCTATGACTTGGAATATCTACAACGTCTCATCTGTTACCTATCGAGGCAACTTCAATAAAATTCTTGTTGAGTAAAATTTGATATTAATTATTGAAAAATCGGTCCCAGCACCAATATTAACTACGCTAAACACTTCAATTTTTTTAGCTACAAGTTTTTGTAAAACTTCTAAATACTATACAATTTATTTTCTATAAATTTAAAATATTTACTCTTACAGATTTAATTTCAATAGTATAAGTAAAAATATTTGAATCTTTTTTTATCTTTTTTTATAAAAAGGGCTTTCAGATTTGAATATTTGAATATTTTTGATATTTTGGTTTAAACATTCCTATTTTTTTTAGTATAAAAATACATATACTTTTGAAATTTTTATAGAAAGAGAGATTTTCCGATTCTATTAATACCGACTATACTCCAAAAGGCCCAAAACCCTAATTCTAGGTTTTTGTATCGCTTCGATATACATCAAACATGTATATGTCATGTGTGCACGCAAAGAAATAAACAAAAACGTTAAAGATGGATCCAAAAAACAGAAAACAACAACGTAGCGCATCTTTAGAAGCAGCAGATCATCCCTCCGTCTCAAAGATGGAGCGAAAAAAGAAGAAAAAGCAAAAACTCAGCAAATCACAAATTATCGCAAGCCCCTCTCTCTCAAAGGAGGAGCTGCGAGAAGCGATGAAGAGTCAAAACGACGCCGCTCTGGCCCTTACGCGTAAGGTAATTGCTTGTGAAGCAAGAAACACTAACTTCGTCTTCTCTCCGGCGTCAATCAACGCCGCGCTCACAATGATGGCTTCCGGCACCGGCTTCGTCTCCGACGAGCTTAAGGCCATTTACAGAGAGATCTCTGCCGTCGTCTTCGCTGACGGCGGTGCAACCGGTGGCCCCAAAATCGTAGCGGTTAACGGTGTTTGGGTCGACCAATCACTCCCGGTTAATCATTCGTTGAAAGATCTCTTGGAGAATGTCTTCAAGGCTACTTTCACTCAAGTTGACTTCAGATCCAAGGTATTATTTCCCCATTCCTTAATTTTTAATTATAATAAATCCAAGAATCCTAATGAAACATTAAAACAATATGAGATAATATTCCACTTTGACAAACTTTTTAAATCCATGCTGATCCTTATGTAAAAGAAAACTAATAGTAAAGTTAATTTGATAATTTTCCTGGAACAAGGAGAAGATTAGTACATCCATGAGTTTACAGGAATTACATAGATATCAATTTAATTAAAATAGAATGATTCATGTTACATAAATATTAATTTACTGAAATTAACTGACATGTTTTTGATTATTTTGAAGGCTGAGCAAGTGCGTATTAAGCTGAATCAATGGGCTTCAGATCACACCAATGGTTTCATCCGAAACCTTCTCCCTCCTGGATCCATTACAAGTGTAACCAAACAGGTTTATGGAAACGCATTATACTTCAAAGGAGCCTGGGAACACAAATTCGACAAGTCCTTGACGAAAAACAAAAAGTTTCACCTTCTCGTTGGCGAACCAGTAAGTGTGCCTTTCATGAGCAGTCATAAGAGCCAATACATTAAGGCTTACGATGGTTTCAAGGTCCTTGGACTACCATACAGACAAGGCCGCGGTATTGATGACGATACCAAACGCAAATTCTCAATGTATTTCTATCTTCCGGACAAGAAAGATGGATTAAGTAATCTTTTGGAGGAAATGACATCAACTCCTGGATTCTTGGATAGTCATATTCCGGAACACAAAGTTACAGTTGGAGATTTCAGGATTCCAAAGTTTAACATTTCTTTCATGTTTGAGGCTTCTAGGGCTTTCGAGGGAGACGTTTCAGTGACGATGTACCATCAAGCTACTGTCCAGATCGATGAAGTAGGCGCTGAAGCTGCGGCTGTCACTTATGTTGGAGTGAAGGTAGGCATGTGCCGTAGGAAGCCTACTCCTCCGAAGTTGATAGATTTTGTGGCTGATCATCCATTTCTTTTCTTGATTAGAGAAGACAAAACCGGAACGGTTTTGTTCGCTGGTCAAATACTCGATCCTAGGTAGGTGGTATTCGATATCGGATCAGATTTAACGGGATCCTGGTTTTGGTGAGGTCATGAGTTGATTTGTTTGGCACATTTGGTTGTGTTTGAGATCATTTTTCTTTCAAGTCATGACTCATGAGTTCAATTCTTGTTTATTTGCAAAAAACATTACTGTGGGTTTTGGTCAAAACTCAAAACCACATCATATAAGCATCCATCCGAGTCAATAAGATCTAAGGGTCAGATTATTAAACCGATTTTTCCGTACTGTATGAAATAGACCAAAAGTTTTTTTTTTTTTTCAGGTTACAGTTTTATTTATTCAGATTACAGACAATACAGTACTCAAAACATCTTCTCTCATACTTTTGGAGCATATATATCTTGGTGGATTTTGGTCAGCGAAAAAATTAGATCTTTATATTCCCGCCTCTGAACCTTACCTTGGAATCACAAAGTCACCGTTCGATTTGAGATCCGTTAGCTTCCACCGAACACCGTCCTATGTCGCAACAAATTCAACTACCTGTAGACCGTTATTGAATTCAAGCTTTTGTTCAACTTCATTATCATTTTCTTTTCAACAAAAAACGAGTGTTAGAAAAAAAGGGGAAATTGTAATGAATAAACATGTTGAGAGCAGATATTAGTTTTGTAACCATATTGAGTCATGGTTACATATTCTCCATATAATATATAATATTACCGAAAGACTCCCTAGGTCTATGATAAAAGTAGTTTCTAGTTTTTTAGTCGATTTTATGAATGAGCGGGAAATAGAGGGTGTGGTTATACACGTGGTAGTCTTACAAATAACGAAAGAATAATGAGAAAGGAAATTGTAAAGGCAACCAGAAACTGTTGTCAGGTGTCGTGTCATTTTCACCGTCTCTATGTAAGTGCGAAGAAGAAGGAGACTGAAATATATAAAGGGTTTAGCATCTAAAAGAAATCTTCGCATTGAACCAGCGGATCGGAAAAGGTAATTCGATATTTCTATGCTACAGATCTGGGTAGAATTCGAGTGTTCTGTGATTAATTTAAATCTGTCAACTTCATTAAAAACAGAATACCAGTGTGCATCATCATTGGGTTTCTTCTCGATTCTGTTGTGTTTTACGACTGTTTCATTTCCGTCAGTAGATCTTTTGAGGTTTCTATTAGTTTTAAGTAGGCGAAAGCCATAGGTGATGGAGAAGTACTGGGTTACTGTTCATATATCTTCGCACTCCCCGTTTAGACCGGATTTGTTCATAGAATTGATACTGTATATACTCGTATGAATTTAGTGGCCAATGGATTGACGCATACAAAGCGGTTAATTTTGGCTTCTGAATTTTGAAAATCTTGTAATTTGTAATCGAATGAACTGAACTATCCAGGCAGTTGGTGACAAAGAAAAAGTATGAACTATGGTGGTGGTTTGCTGGAAAGCCTATACGGCACGGGTTGGAAGATTTCGAAATGGTGACAGGTTTGAATTGTGCTGCTCCAGCTGAGCCGTTTAGGAAGCGGAAGAGAAGGACCACGTCAGAGAAGAAACCGAAGAAGAAGGAGACAGTTGTCGAGAGTGCTGGGAAAATTTGGACAGAACTGTTTGGAAAACAGAAAAAGGTTACTCCTGTTCTCTTGATGCAGAGACTGCTTGTTGGAAAGAAAAGTAAGGACGACATTACTCGTTTCTGTCTGGGGTTGCTTCTTCTGGTTGAGGGTATATTATGCACTACAAGTGGTGCAACAAATGTTAGGCCAGCTGTTATGGAGATGCTTGATGACATTGACGCTTTTCTTAAACACCCCTGGGGACGGGAGTCTTTCTGTCTGACAATTAAATGCTCGAAGGCAAGGAGTGCAGAGCATTTGGTGCAAGAGTCAATTGCACTGCAAGGATTTTTGCATGCAATGGTCCTTGTCACGATTTGTTGCTGTCCAGAACTTCTTGTTTAGCCCGGCGAGGTAGACCCATTTTTAACAGAAGGCAGTCCGATTGAGGATGTCATCCAAGCCGTGGCTGAGAGGAGTTTGTCAATGAACATTCAAACAGCCCGCAATTTGGATTTGCTAGGACAGGTAATTGAAATGGTCTATAAACCTAACTGCAGAATAGAGTTTTTATTTAATGTGTAATTTATACTATAACAGTGTCTTACCATACTATACATGCAAGGGTGCGATCTCTTCTGGGTTCATCGAATGGACCTGAAATTGAGTATATTCCTTTCGGAGACGAAGCAGTAGATGAAAGGATCGACCATCTTATGACAATGATTACATAGGACTTTCCATTCGAGCATAACACTTGGCGCGGAGGGGTGAAAGAGGAGGAAGCGTTGAATCCTTCAGATAAGGATCCCAAAGCCAGTGATGGTTAAGAGTCTGAATCCGTTAATACAGGACAGTCCTCCCCGACGATCACATTCGGGAGAGAATTTAGAAGGCCCTTTAAGAAAGTCGTTCCTCCATCGACGACCATTCCATCAGCTGGGCCTAGTACGGGACATTGTGCGGAGGCTTCAGGATCGACTATGAAAGAGTTGATGCGGGATATGGTAGATGATTTTGAAGAGCGGGCTCGAGCTGTGTGTGAAGGATATGCTCTGAGCGTTAAAGGTCATTTTGATACTGTCATCTCTCAGTTGAAGATTGATATGAGGACCATGATGAGTTGAAATACGCGGGTGGATAATGAATCACAACCCTCCGGTGGGGGACACCGAACTGTGTCTTTTGATGGTGGAGCCTCTACCGGGCGAACTAAGGCACATGTTCGTACATCTGAAGATGGTGGTAAAGGTTAGTTTACTGGGCTTTTTATATTGGTTTTCTGATATGGAGAGGCGTGTACGTGACAATTGATGTTCATTCAGATGGTCCGGTTGAGAAGGGGAAATCAGCAGTTTGGTCACAGGGTAGCATCAATCCTCGAGGCAGTAAAGGGAAGGGTTCTCGGGGGGGGGAGTGAAAGGGTCAGATGTTGAAGCTGTTGCGGCGACGGGAAAGGTTGGTAAGAAAAAGGAAGTGGAAAGCGTACATTCTGAATTCGGCGATGTGGAGATCAGTTTATAAAGTATATAATATAATAGTATCACACACGGAGTCAATAAAGTAGAAGTTCTACTATTCTCATATTCAGTAGACTGACTATGGTAAGTATGATTCGCAGTCAGCTAACGTTGGCGGTCCTTCTACCAATGCGGCAGAGGGTGGAGCAGATATTGATGTGGACCAACCGGTGACTGACGGGGACCATATTCCTCTGGCTAAGAGGTTCAGCGAGAGAACTAGATCAAAGCCGCAGAAGTTCACACCTGCAAATTACAAACCCAAGGGAAACCAGGGAAAGAATGCAAATAAAACAGATGTCGTTGACAAGCCAGTGTCCTCGAAAACTATCCATACAGTTGAAACACCTACATCAAATGGCGTTATACTTATTGATGGTTTCAATCCATCTGTGCCAACTGCTGAAAGTCGTTCATCTACCTTTCTGAAGTTGATGCGTGAGGAAAGTAAGTGCATTTTCAAATTATGTTATAGTAAGTATCAAAGTTGGAGATATACTATACTAACAGTTTTATGAATGCAGAACGTATGCAGGGCAAAATAGTACAGTAATTCCAAGTTCAATATTTATGGAGATATTTGAGTCTCGATCTCCCCTTTCAGTAATGGTGAGTGTACTTTCATTTTATGTTTAAACACTTGTTGTAACAATGATATGAATTAGTACAAATGCCAGGTTTTTTTTTTAAGGCGGTCGATGTCTTGGTAAGGTTGTGCAGCGTCGACGGGAGAATTTAGGGAGTGTAGAATGGGAATTTCTCCCGCCTACATTCATTGCAGCTCTGATGGCGGAGTATGAAACATTTGCTCTTACAGGGGGCCAAGCAGTGCACATATTTTCTCCCATGCTCCATACTCTACTTGGAAGTCGGCCTCGGTGGTGCAGTGCCGTAGCTGTCCTTTACTTCCCATTTCAGATTGATGGCTCCCATTGGGTAGGCATTGTACTTGACCTCACCGCGTGTGCATTGTATGTTCTGGACTGCAACACTGCATGTGTTTCGGAGACGGAGTTGGAGCAACGAATGAAGCCACTTGCAGAAATCCTACAACATTATATTAGACTTCACGGTGAAACTGATGCAGCCAAATTAGTTCTGAATGCCCCTTTCCCTGTTAAGAGGATGGATTTGGAGATTCTGTGTGAGTTTACAGGTATGGTTTGCTATTTCTAGATGAGCATGGAAAGTAAAGGATTGTATGAACTTCCATATCTGATGGTCATTTTCTTTGTTGTAGGTCTCAGTGGGGTGACTGCAGTTGCGCTTTTGGAGATGCATGCGACTGGCCAACTAGGAGCCTGTTCAAACATCTTAGAGTCAACTCTTCTCTGTGCAGCCGCGAACAACGCGGTGGAGGCCTTCGCTTACTTCAACCCATCTATATTGTCTGACTAATGTATTATTTTCGCTACTGTGTACGTTGGCTTACGTTATATTGTACCGTACGGTTGTCGGATGTTGAATGTTTCGTTTGTGGTTGCTTATGATAAACTATTATCATCTGCTTTTTATATTATTTAATTTGCATAGTATGTGTGCTTATTATATAAGTGAGCACACATATATAATGATGTCTATATGTGTGTGGAGGAGGGGGGGGGGGGGGGGGGGGGGGGGTTTTTTGTAAAGGGTGTTTGGGTATAGGCTGCAGTGGCTTCGGTTTAGTTTACAGTTGTATGATGTCTATGAAGTACTAAATATTTTTGGTTCATTTTGCGGACTATGTCTCCACCAAGTATTAACCATTCCATACTATGGTACAGTTGTAGTATGGAAAGCTGAAAATAATATCGTTTTAATTATTAGGTTCCCACAGTATTCATATCGGGGGTTTTGGTTTGGTAAAGGGGGTGTAGGTATAGGCTGCAGTGCCTTGGTTTTAGTTTTTAATTATAAGTGGGTACTGACGTATTTAATCTTTTAGTTTCATGTTCGGGTGTGTTTATTT